TTCGTTCACTCCATTAGTGAAATCCAAAAAGCCTTGAAATTGTTTAAATGGTCGTTGATTGGGAAATGTTCTTATCGTCCCTCAATGATCCATGAAATTAAGACTAATCTTTTGGCTATATGCTACGATTCTCGAAGGATTTCATGATCTCTCAAATGGATTGGAGACATCTCCTCTTCCATTTCTTGGAAGAGGACTTTTTCAAAGTTCGGATGAGAGAGGTGTTGTAATGTAGACACTCCATTTTGGCTCCCTCTCTTGAGCGTGTCTCAGCCTTTTCATGTCAAAATGTTGTGAGAAACACACAATTTGTTTCTATATAAGAGCCATGTATGTATAGAAACAAACAACGTATTGTTGAAACACACCCTGATTGGAAAAATGGGGGTTTGGGTTTGAAATTGAGTCTAGAACATGTATAGATTCATTCTATATAAGATCCATTTCCCTCCAAAATTCAAGTTTTATAGTCAAAGGAGTAGGGGCGTGGGTAGAATCCGCCCCTTGCTCTTGTTTAGGTTCAATTCAAGGCCATCTCTATAGATAGGGGCCTTACCAAATCCTACGACAATACATCAACTTCACAATTGAGCTCAACTCAAATGAGTGCTCAATACATATTCTTCCTCTTCTTCCTTAAAGTCTCCCAAGGCAAACTAAAGGCTTGTTCATTTCCTCTTAACTCTTATCTCTTAAGAGGAATCTTTCAACTTCAAGAAAAAAATGGTTTTTAGTTTCCTCTTATCTCTCATCTCTTAAGGCTGCATTTGTTTAAAGTGTAAATGAGAACTAGGGTAAATTTTACACCCTGGTTCGATTTTGTAGGCAATTGGTAGAGGTGTTAATATACCTCATCAATCGGTATAAAAGTCCATTCTTGTTAGTATATTCATCAAAAATCAATAAAAAATTTACATCGATAAAATAGATGTAAAACTTTACCTTCCTCTATCCAACAGCTGCGTGTTTACGTTTGAACCAAGAAGAGAATGAACCAGTGCGATGGTGACATCTCTGACCAGCGAGTTCCGATTCCAAAGCCCTACTCCACTAATACTACCAGTCTTACCATCTATCCATGCTAATGCTTGGCATCGCCGATCGGGGACTGATCGAAATGGGTTCCCATCTCTACTAGTTCTGATTCCAAAGCTCAGCTCCATTAATACTATCAGTCTGCCATCCATCAATGCCAGTGCTAGGCGCCACCGATCATGGACTGATAGAAATGGGTTCCCACCTCTACCAGTTCCGAATCCAAAGCCCAGCTCACTAATATTACCAATCTACCATCCATCCACGTAAGTGCTTGGCACCGCCGATCGGGGACTAACAAAAATGGGTTCCCACCTCTACCAGTTCCGATTCCAAAACCCAGCTCCACTAATAATACCAATTTGCCATCCATCCATGCCAGTGCTTGGCACGGCCGATTGGGGACTGACAAAAATGGGTTCCCACCTCTACCAGTTCCGATTCCAAAGCCCGTCTCCACTAATACTACCAGTCTGCCATCCATCCACGCCAGTGCTTGGCACCGTCGATCGGGAGTGACAGAAATGGGTTCCCACCTATACCAGTTTCAATTTCAAAGCCCAGCTCCACTAATACTACCAGTTTACCATCCATCACGCCCAGTGCTTGGCAGCGCCGGTCGGGGACTAACAGAAATGGATTCCCACCTCTACCAGTTCTGATTCCAAAGCCCAGCTCCACTAATAATACCAGTCTGCCATCCATCCACGTCGGTGCTTGGCACTACTGATCGGGGACTGAAAATAACGGGTTCCCACCTCTACCAGTTCTGATTCCAAAGCCCACCTCCACTAATACTACCAGTTTGCCATCCATCCACGCCAGTTCTTGGCACCGCCGATCAAGACTGACAGAAATGGGTTCCCACCTCTACTAGTTCTAATTTCAAAGCCCTTCTCCACTAATACTACTAGCCTGCCATCCATCCATGTCGGTGCTTGGCACTGCCAAACGGTGACTGATAGAAATGGGCTCCCACCTCTACCAGTTCTGATTCCGAAGCCCACCTCCACTAATACTACCAGTCTGCCATCCATCTATGCCAGTGCTTGGCGCCGCCGATAGGGGACTAACAGAAATGGGTTTCCACCTCTACCAGTTCCGATTCCCCTAATACAACCAGTCTGCCATCCATCCACACTAGTGGTTGGCACCGCCAATCGGGGACTAAAAGAAATGGGTTCCCACCTCTACCAGTTCCACCTTTCTTTGCTCGCTTTTCTCTCTCTCTCTCTCTCCCTTCAAATTTTGATGCTCTCTCTTGTCTGGGTGATTTCAACGATCAACACTACTTACCAGAGAACCCGTGTTATTCGGCTGCTGGTATCTTTTGCGAGAGGAGATTCTCCGGTGACTCACCAGTGCTCTACATCACAAGAATTGTCTTGAAATTATAGCAGCTCGATGGATTCCTTTCTCCTACAATCGGTCATCTCACGAAACTGAGACAGCTCTCTCTCCCTCACAACCACCTCGTTGACAAAATCCCTCGACAAATCATTTATTGCCGGAAATTGCAAATCCTAAACCTACAAAACAACCGCTTTTGTAGCAGAATTCCATTAGAATTCTCCTTACTCGTAAGCCTCCGACCCCTTGATCTATCTTTAAATAGCTTTTCGGAGAATCTGCCCAAAGGTGAAAGTAGCAGTTGTTGCTCCATCGAGACAGTTTTTATACGAACAACAGCAGCAGTAAGCTTTTATATTTACACCCTAGACAATCAAACATGGTTAATATAAATTTTCAAAATCAATCGGTTTCAATTTCCATTGATCACTAAATCGATTCATATTTTTTCATCGTGTAAAATTTGAATTTATACCACAAACAAATGCAGCCAAAAGTGTAATCATACAACTTTTTGTTTTTCAATGACAATATATAGAGTTGAAATGGATATTTAATAATTTTCAAAATTCATAATTCAGAATTTAAAATTCAAAACAACATTCTCTGCATTGAGAGTTCAAAGGAAAGAAAAGCTCACTAATACTAATATACCTCTTAATATAATTATTGCAATTTCAGATGTCGGGCTTCAGAGAAAATAAACAAGCCCTTTATTGTGTAAAACCTAAGAGATTTCCCAAGAGAAGATTCCCTCTCTTGCAGAACTTCCTTAGGGGTGGAAGATAAATTTCCTTTTTCTCTTCCTGGAGAATTGAGGGTCTACTAGGGTTAGATCCAATTATCTTGATTAAATAATCAGTCTAGTTTGGTCCAGTCTAGTTTTCAAAACTATGTATCTTATGTGCAAATTTCTAAATTTTAAGTACTAAAATAATTATTATATTATTAATATTTTTATTGTATAATTTTATTGAAAGTAAAAATCAATTTTAATTTGATATAAATATAAATTTGATAAATTATTTGTTCCATTAATGTTTATAAAATACAAATTTTTAATATTATTATATTTTTAATTTTAAGTTAAAGTTATTGAGCATTATTAACATATAGAATTTTTTTGGATAATATGTTAACAATAAAGTCAATAAAAATTATTATCACAAATTTTAAAGTGTCTTAGTGGCTTAAGGAGCATATCAATTGATTTAGGCATCAAGTGACTTGGGTTCAAAACTATAAGGAAGGACAGCTTGGGTGAAAAAGTTAATTTTCGAAAATGAGAAATCTATTTCACCACCTACGTACCTTAGTCTCCCACCCAAGTCCCAAGGTGGGGCACTCGAAATAAGATTCATTCAAATTTATGATGGGAAGTGTAGCCAAATTCAAACGGGGTTGGGAACAGAATCTTATTACTCAAGCAGGTAAGAAATTCTTTTGATATCTCCAAGGCTATATTTGGTTTGAAGGAAAAGGTAGGTAAAGGAAGAGAAAGACAGAGGAACCTATGCAAGGTTTGTAAAGGTTTTTCTACCTTTCCTTTCCCTGCATTTTTCTTAAAACCAAGCATAGCCTAATTGTTCCAATGCCTTTGTATACTATGTCTTGCCTTTAGCCAACCTCAAAAGCTTTATGATGATATCGCCAAAAGTTCAACAGTCTTTTTGGCAAGGCTTTCCTCTAGAGATTGTACAAAAGGATAGGTGATAGGGAGATTGGTTACAAACCCAAATGCATTATGGGATAAGCTTCTTTGAGCCAATTATCATCACAATTAAATTTTTTTAGCAGCAAAAATGTTTGGAATTCTTTGTTGGGGTGGAATATGATGGGTAAAGATCGAGGTTTTCTGAATCGAGTCAGACAAGGAATCGTTCTAGGTCTGGTTCCTGGGTCAAACAGTCTGATCATTCAAATTGAACGGATGACCCGTTTTGACAAAAAATAATAAAAAAGTAAAAAAATGGAAAAAAACCGTTGGCCGGGTCAACGGGTCTGGATCAGCGGTTCACTGACCAAATCAAATGATTTTTGACCAAAAAACAGTTCTAGGCTGAAACGGAACCGATCAGGTGACCGGTTCCCAGTTTTTTCGGTCCGACTACCCAATCCAGTCCGATTTTAAAGGGAGTTACTGACAAATGGGCTTAGGGCAATTGAATAAATTTTGGGATGATAATTGGGTCTTTAACCTCCCAAATTATAAAATCCAAACTGATGGGCTTAACGGGTGTCATGTATATATAATGTTTTTCTTTTCTTTACAAATTTCAGCTAGATCAAATTTTACAAAGAGTTGCATGCATATTAAAAAGTTAATATATATATATATATATATATATGAGATGAATATAGAATTTCTACAAAATCTATATTAACTGATCTTTATATATATCGTCAATCTTATTTGTAATTATATTATAAAAACTTTCTACTACAAATTAATAAAAGCCCTCTTTAAACATTTGACATCTCTGAAATAAAGATTTTTCAAACGTTTTACTTCCATATACAAAACCTACAAGTATCAGGTCTAATTCACTTAATTTACTCACAAAATTAAAATAAAGATGTTTTGAAATCAATGAACAAAATGTGATTGAGCATACCATTCCTGACACTCGATCGACCTGCTCATCATATTTCTTTTTCATCTGCCCATTTAACCTCGATATCTCTTTTGTAGTTAATGCTTTAAAATCAGCTTCTTCCTTTTGCTTGCGTTGTCTCATAGTTTCTTCCTATCATACATAAGTTTTTAACAATATTATTATAAGATTCTTGCAAAAAATATTACAATAGATTTAATATAGATTAAGAAAAATCATCACCTGTAATTTCAAAAATAGTTCATTTGTATATGGTTTTCCACCATTCTCTGCAATGACCTTGTTTACTAAGAAGGAAATTTCATTGATCTGGCCAGTCTTCTTATTTTCCTTCCTAGTCTTATTATTGAAAAGAACAATCCGGTCTTTGCATAAAGATCGAAGTTCCTGCATCATAATCAACAAAAGTTTAAACAAAATATTGCTAATATTAGTATACTATATTTTTTTCTTTATTTGCAATCGAAGAGTTAGGCGATTGATACAAATCACTAAAAACTAAGGCTGAGTTTGGAAGGAGTACAAATGCAAATATGTAGAATAATGCAAAACCTTATATTTTGTATGTATTTACGCTGTACATATTTGCATTTCTACTCTTTTTAAACTGAGCCTAAGAATGTAAATCATGTAGTTTAAAATATTTTGAACAATAAGATGCATTTGTTAATTACAAGAAGGTAGAAAATACAAAGCCGTTGCATTAAGAGTATAACAAGTTAGATGTAAAAATAACAATATTTTTCTATAAACAGGGGTACAAGTTGGGCACCAAGAATTTTACATTGTTGAGCCCGCCCTTTCGGGCCAGGCTCATTCAAATTTTAATCACCCAAGTTGCACCCATATCTGTAACGAAGAAACTTCTTTATTAAACTTTTTGGGCTCACAACAACCACCCACAAGATGAAATCATAAATAATCAAAATAGAGAAAAAAAACTCACTCTTACACCAAAAGCATCACTTTTTCTCTTTTTTATTTTTCTTTAAAAGAGCCTTAAATCATATATACATACAAAAAAGAAAAAAAAAATTATATGTAAAATCTTCCTTAACATACATCCATCGTTCAATTATAAACTAACCCAATGGTAGAAAAGTAAGACACATACCCAACAAAGCCATCTATTATTTTCAACTATCTATATCTATACTAATATAAAAAGTATAAATGGGACCTTAGATTTTTAGAATTTTTCTTAACTAAAATACACTTCTTTTTGAAATATGGCCTACCAACCCAACTATCTAGTTCAATTAGAAGTTGAAAACATAGATTTCTAAATTGAAAGACAACAAATCTACAAGTACATCATGCTTTTATTATTATTATATGGGTTCTAATAATAACAATGAAATCATCATCATCATCATTTGAAATTTTTATGCACACATCTACTAGTGAAAGAAAATAGTTTTATTTAATAAAGTGGGACCCCAGTTTTTTCCACATATATAATGCTGAGTAGGGTTGGGCCGGACTCGACCCAGGCTTTTTTGACAAATCCCAAGCCTGGCCCAAAACACAGTTGGGCTTACTGTGTTACGCCCAAGGTCAGGCCCGCTGGCCTAATTACATAACCAAGCCCGACCGGGATGCGAGCCGGGCCATCGAGCTACCCGGCCCATGAACATGTCTAAATGGAATGGAGGGTGATGCTATGGTTGCCACATGCAAGCAGGTTACGCTTTGCATGGGCTCTCACCATTCACAAGTGCCTAGGAAGGACTCTAAACGTACTTCTTTTGGTTGTGGGATGGTCTAGCTGAAATGTTCATTTTGCCCTTAAGTCAAATCACCCCGCCTCCCATTGTCGCATGCACAGACCATCGACAAAGCACAAAGTTGTCAAACCCTAGTAATTGATCTTTGTAGTCGGTATGGAAAAATTAGAGTCCTATCTTAGATTGGGAGTGATTCAGAAGCCCATGAGTTGATAAAATGGGTAAACGTTTTGGCATCGGCAATCGAATGGTGAAACGCAAATCCAAAGCTTATACTAGAGTAGAGCTTATAGTGAATTGTAATGCTAGAACCGGGATAACTGATCCAAACACTGATAACCGATGAACCAAAGAATGAATGCGATTCCTTCCACTCTCTCGCCTGATTGCCGAAGAGACGGTGGAAGCCACCTTCAGATTGAGCGATAGTGAACGAGACCGAGTCGCCTTCCTCTTGTAATGGACAATGGGGTTGGGGGATTCTTCTAGCCATGAGAGGTTTCTGGCGAATGGATAGAAGTGCAGGAAGGTGAGGGAGAGAGAGTGCTTGATGTGGGGAAGGAGAGTGTCTGTGAAGTGTAAAATCATGATGAAAAAACCCGCATCAGTACAGTACTAGTAGCCCAAGAAGATTGTGAAATCTATGAAGCCGAACAAGGCTGTGGTCTCTCGCTTCAACAATGTCATCGCTGCAAAAGAGGTCAAAGCTCAACTCAAGGAGCAGTTCAAGACTGGGAAGAACGGGTGGTTCTTTACCAAACTCAGGTTCTAAGAACAGGTTTTTCAGCTTGTCTTGACTTGGTGGCGGTTCAGAAAAAGCCCTTTTCTTTCGCCCTCTCGCCCCTTGTCTACTTCCATCACTTCCAAGCTTCTGGAGTAAGCAAGGTTCAAGCAAGGCGATGCGTGAAGCGTGATATCTCTTTCGGAGGTCTAACGCCAGATTGAGCAAAGTAAGTTTGGAATATTCTGACGGAAAGGGAGGGAGAGAGAGAGAGAGGTCAGAGATGGAGGGCCTGTTGCAGCGACCGTGATGAAACAGGGGAGAGAGGGAGAGAATCAAGGAGAAGAAGGAGAGAGAGAGGGATGAAGGGTAAAATTGGGGTTTAAAAAAAATTTGTACATAACGTGTGCACGAATTTTGATGGATTATTAACTGATGCTATTGGTATGGTAGAGTAGTCAATTGTCAGAAATAGTAGGGTTACGGTAAGGGGCTGTCCGTTTCCTATTAACTCATATCTCTTAAGAGGAATCTTTTAACTTTAAGAGAAAAATGGTTGTTGATTTCCTTTTATCTCTTATCTCTTAAAGTGCAATCATACAACTTTTTGTTTTCCAATGATACTCCAAAAAAGACAAACAAAAATTCTCATATATGAGGTTAAAATGGATATTTGATAATTTTCAGAATTCAGAATTCAGAATAACATTCTCTGCGTTCAAAATTCAAGGGAAAGAAAAGTTCATCAATACCAACACCTCTTGATGTAATTATTGTACTTTTAGATGTCAGACTTGAAAGCAAACCAACACCCTTAAAATTTTGATTACAACTCACAAATCTACTTTCCTTATTTACAAAAAAAAAATGAAGAATTCCGATTTCCACCTTAATGTTAATATCTAGATTTTTTAAATCAATAATATATAATTTACTGTCAACTTTGTTGATTCTGATTGTTCCTTCGTTGTTGTATACTATACAAGTACTTTGCATAATATATGCTGTCCTATTCACATTTACTGAATACTAAAAAGCCATTTTAATCTTTTAAATTGCACAAGCATGTTTATATTGTACTAGAAATTCGTATTAAGAATATTATGGTTTCCTAGAAAAAATTAAAGAGACAAGAAAATTTTCAATTAAGATAAACAAAGCAAATTATGGATCTAGTCAAAGTTGTAGTTTATTGTTTCACTGTCATATTCAAAAGTTTTGTAATTATTTCTGTTTAGGTTAAGGATGAGTTGGCCCCGGGTGCCATGTGTCACGTTCGTGGCCGCCTTATCATCTCGATTACATCGGCACCATGTCAGATGGATAAGCATGACCAAGACAGGAGAGCATCATATAGATGAAGGAGGATAGTTCCGTTAGGGATTAGGACTTATCCCGAAGACCTCGAGAGGTAACCTCATCCCAACAACCCCGGAAGCCTCACACGAATAGGACATAGATCTTCGGTTATAAAAAGGTAACTCACACTCAAGGTAAGAGACTTTTGACTCTTCAGCACCCATATTATTATTCTACTCAGACCAACATTGCTCTCAACGTCTCACCCCGACTACCCATTCTTCTCACTATCTTGAGCACCGAAGTACCTACCGAGGAACAACTCCTCAGGCCTCTAACCACTTTCTTGGTTTCAGATCTTGCTGCATGGCTTCATCTTTCCACCTCGGCTTTGTCCAGTTGATAGGATTATCTGACTGCGACCTCGGTTCAGAACACCTCGGATTGAACAACATCAATTTCAAGATATTTAAAGTCATCATGAAGTTCTGGAGCATCATATTATTGATAGGTTTTATCTAGAACCTTAAATTGGTTCTATGAAGTTATTGAGATTTATCATCTCTTTGGTCCTTTTTGAAAATTTAAAAGAAAATAATAGGTAAAAGAATCAAAAGGTATCTTTAAGGCCCTATTCGCTTTTCGATAAGTTACTTACCCGGGTAAATGCAATTACCTTTGTAAATTTTTCTTGGGAAATACTTACCTGGTTAAGTGAATTTACCCATGTTCTTTTACTTCTCAGGTAAATAAGGCAATGACCATTTTAGCCATAAAAATCCATTATTAAAAAGGGAAAGTTATTTACCCACCTAAGAGATGGTATCTAGGGAAATAAACTTTCCCTAGTCCCCAAATAAATCTAAAATAAGAACATGGGATTCTTGGTCAATGGGAACCAAAATCCCATTGACCAACTTTCCCCCCTCTTAGAATCTAAAAAAAGAGCACCCCCTAAATCTTTTACTCTTAGGCCCCGTTTGCTTTTCGGTAACTTATTTACCCGGGTAAATGCATTTATCCATGTTCTTTTATTTCTAATGTAAATAAGGCAATGTCCATTTTAGCCATAAAAATCCATTATTAAAAAGGGCATTTTTGTTCCGTTCAAGTGATGACAATTTTCCCTAAGTGGAAAAGTTATTTACCCACCTAGGAGATGGGGTAAGTGATACCCAGGAAAATAAACTTTACCTGCTCCTCACATAAATCTGAAAAAAGAACATGGGATTAAACTTTCCCCCTCTCAAAATCCAGAAAAAGAACGCCCCTTAATTTATTTATAATACAAAGTTAATGGTTAATGATAATTAATAGAAATTTAATTAACGGTAATTAATAGAAACAAGATGAAGTATTATTTGTCCTTCTTTTATCTTATTTCTATTTTTTTTCTATTTATTTTGGTAGATCCATTCATCATGGAATTAAACATATAAGATAAGAGCAGGTGGGCCCTATTCAATACAATTTTTGAACTCGAATTCAATTCTCACAAGACATTGCTCACACCGTCCTCACAGCCACTTGTAGTTGTACATTGAAAATATCTTGTCAAAAAACATGCAAGTACGAAGATATTCCTAATACATGATGGTTACAAGTAGCTGTGAAGACTGTGTGAGCACAATTTTGTGAGG